TAGGACCATTTGCTTGGGGTTGCCATTATTATCCTTTAAGACTGGAGGGCACGATAGATCAAATGATTTATATATCATTAACAATTCTTGTTAACCATAAACAGGGTTGGGCTTTTCCATACTGATTACCAAGTAATGCAATAAGGACTTGTTTTATTTCTTCTGCAGTGTCCATATGAGCAAGCTAATGTGAAAATGAGTCCAAAAAGAAGCATTTCAAGATTTCAAGTATTTTTTTCTTCTTTTCTTCTTCTTCTTCTTTTCTTTTTCTTTTTCTTTCTTTTTTTTTTTTTTTCATATAAATGACTACTAGCTTTTTTCATTCTGTGAGAGTGGCTGCGAAATTGAAGCCCATCATCTCTTTGTGGCTTCCACTGCTGGAACACTGGTATTTGCTGTACCTGATCCTGGCTCCCAGTGAATGTGTTTTAATTGTCATAAACCACAAGCTGAACCATATGCGAACGTGTATTTTCAACAGTGCATCAGTGAATCCCTTTCACTTTCGTTTGTGCTACAAGTAACGGGCTACAATCCCATAATAGAATTATTTTCCCTTTAAAAGAAACTAAGAAAGGGAGCATATGCGATCGGTAAATCCCACAGGTATATCTAACATTACTTTTGTAAACAACATGATGGCCAAAAAGCGTTGATGCCCAAGAGTTTGGACTGTTGAGAGGTGAGGGCAGCAGGGACAGACAGCGTTGTGTGTTGTGCTGGGTGTTGTGTGCTGGGTGTTGTGTGCTGTGGAGTGTGGTGTTTGCTGTGTATTGCTGTGTGCTCTGTGAGTGCTCCGTGTGCTCTGTGATGTGTGTGACTGTCCTCTGTGTGCTGTGATGTGTGTTTCTGTGTTCTGTGCTGTGTGTTCAGTGTGCTCTGTGGTGTGTGTTTCTGTGCTCTGTGCTGTGTGTTCAGTGTGCTCTGTGGTGTGTGTTTCTGTGTTCTGTGCTGTGTGTCCTGTGTGCTCTGTGGTGTGTGTTTCTGTGTTCTGTGCTGTGTGTCCTGTGTGCTCTGTGGTGTGTGTTTCTGTGTTCTGTGCTGTGTGTTCAGTGTGCTCTGTGGTGTGTGTTTCTGTGTTCTGTGCTGTGTGTTCAGTGTGCTCTGTGGTGTGTGTTTCTGTGCTCTGTGCTGTGTGTTCAGTGTGCTCTGTGGTGTGTGTTTCTGTGCTCTGTGCTGTGTGTTCAGTGTGCTCTGTGGTGTGTGTTTCTGTGCTCTGTGCTGTGTGTCCTGTGTGCTCTGTGGTGTGTGTTCTGTGCTCTGTGTGTGTGTGTTTCTGTGCTCGGTGCTGTGTGTCCTGTGTGCTCTGTGCGTGTGTTCTGTGTGCTGTGACCACGGCCGGGGCCGGCTGTCGCTCCTCACCGGCACAGGCGGATGCCCGGGGTGGCGGAGCGCTCCCGCCGCGCACCGGGAAAATCCGCCCTTTGGGATAAGCCCATCCCCTTCGAGTGCTCCGGAGGATGCTCCGACGCCTCTGCACAGCGAGCTCGGCCATGCCCGGGCCCCAGAGCGGGCCCGGCCGCGGAGCAGCCCGAGGCGAGGCGGGGAAGCCGCCGGGCCGGGCCGGGCCGGGCTGCGCGGTTCCGCCGCGCGTCTCCGGGCCCTCGGGCCCTGGGGGATGATCCCGCCGCCCTGGGGCAGGGCCGGAGCGGCTCCCTGACACGCTTGCTACCGGATTAAATCCCCGGCACTGAGGTGGGGGATGGGAGAAAGAAAGGCTCCACAGAATCGCCTGGGTTCCTGAATAATTTAAATTCTTTGTATTTGATTGAACATCGGTCTGTTTGGCATCCAAGCTTGTAAAAACCTTAGAAAGACAAAAGAATTCGGTTTGCAAACATACTACGAAGTGTAAAGCACGCCACAGATATTCATGAGCACCCAGGAGGTACTGAGCACTCCTGTACATTCGAGGCCCTTGCCAGGAGCTCCCACATCTTTGTTTCATTAACACGGAGCCCTCCTTTATTTCCTGCTAAAGTCACCGACATCCGGACCGCTGTATTTATTGTCTCGCACGACTTCTCCCACAGATCTTCATTAAGGCTGAATGGCACTCACACAACATGTTCTATCATAGTGCCGATGAATTGCTGCGCCTAGAAAACGCTAAATGAATCCCCAGCCCAAAAAGTATTCCTGAGATGAAGCTGGTCCGCGGAGCGCTCTGCCAGCGGGGAGATTCGCAGGCCCTGGTGGCCTTCAGGACATCCCGGTGCCTCGCAGCAACTCCATGATGGACCTTGGCTGGGAGGGATTGGGGTTACCCGGAGGGGCTGAAGTAAATGGAAATAGGGGGGTTTATTTCTTTTTTTCTTTTTGGTCCTTTCAAATGAAACAGTTTCATTTAGTTGGGAAGCTATTGTCAGTTTCCTGGTGTCCCATTTTGATCCCTCCTCAGCTTGGGTTGAACGAAATGTCTTGAAACCTATTCCAGAAAAAAAAAAAAAAAAAAAAAAAGCTTGTACAGGCCTCCAGATGCTAAGATTTAGATCATTTGAACGTCAGCGCAGCCTTCTGGTAACAAAAAACATCCAAATGGATTTCATTTGTGTGTTAACATCCGTCAGATGGGAGAGTAGCACAGTTTAGAGTTAAAGTCTGTTTTCATGGTTTTAGCAACTGGGTCCACATGAACATCTCGTCTGGCAAGTCAATAGGTTGAAGCTACACTGAACAAACCGAGTCCAAATATCTGAAATGACTCGGAGTGGTACTGATACATTAAATACTGATGTAATGTATGAGGCTATTACTGCTGTTTGTATAGATTCGCGTGGGCATGCAAATAGGTGGAGAGAGGGGTCGGTCATTGCGGGGACAGACAGCTCTGAAGGGACCGAGCGGGCTGCGCGCCCCGCAGCAGCGGGCGGGACCCGGGCCCGCGGCTCCGCGTTCCTTGCGCAGCATCCGAGCATCGCTCCGCGTCTGTGAGCGAGCACCGGCCCCGCAGCGTGCCGGGTCCTGTCCCGGCTGTCCGTGCCGCGTGGGGAATTGGTAACGCACGGGCCTGTGCTGCTGCCGCGGCAGTAGTCATGAAATAAAGCATTACATTAGTTAGGCACGACGCAGCAGGTGGCTTATTATGAGCCTTGCATATTCCTCTCCCTCCTGCTCCCATCAGAGCGCTGGTAATTGGGGAGGGGGGGAAATATATATATTTTAGGCGATTTAGAGAGTAAGAGGAGGAACGGGGCAGAGTCTGGGGCGTCCAGCGGGCCGGAGCCGGAGCCGGGTTGGGCTTCTTCCTCAAAGTTGTAGCGACAACAACCGTGGTGATTATGATACTAATAATTCTTATTGTTGTACCTTGGCGCAGATGGCGGCTGCTCTCTCAGGGAGGTTAGGAAGACAGCAAGTTCCATGAAGGCCGCTCTCTCCCTGCGCGCTCAGCCGCTTCCCGGCACGCACTGACAGACGGATTCAGCTACCCCTGCCTCGGAGCTGCTCCCGCTTTTGCTCGGGATGCCTTTAAACTTCCTGGTCGCCAGCGGATTTAACGAAACCTTATTCTAAAAGCTCTCGCCATCCGAACCACGGGAACAAGACGGGTTTGCAATGGCCCCAGAGCTGGCACAGCAAGCCCTGCGTGATGAAAACTCATGGTCCCTGCCCTAAATCCACTCCTCCTGCAGAGACATACTAGGCATTTAGGTTCTCTACCAGAAGTACCCGCACAAACACACACACACCCCTGACCCACGTCCCTGGCCGGTTTCTCCAGGTGAGCCGCTGCTGTTGCGTGGGATGCGCCCTTTGCTGCCCGGCCGCCCTCACGGGGAGCAGGGCACGACCCGCCGCGGCGCCCGGGCTGCCCACGCTGCCCACGCTCCCCAGCCCTGCCCGCGGGAGGGCGGGCGCGGGGCCTCCCCCCGCCGGCCGGGACGGAGCCGGGGCGGGGAGAGATGCTCCCGGTGCCACCGCGCTGTTCCCCGGCTGCTGCCGAGCCGCCGGCCCGCCGGCAGAGCCGGAGCAGACCGGGACCCGCCGCTGTGCCCAGAGCGCACGGACGGACCCCCACCCGGCGGAGCGCACCCCGGCGGGAAGCCGAGCCCGCCCCGCTTCCTCCGCTCTCCGCCGGGGCTCCGCTGGCAAACTCCAAGGAAGATCATTAGCATCCCTTGCCTTTTTTTTTTTTTTTCCAGATAGATTATCAAGCTGGCCACGTAGACCTGAGGGTCACATGGCTCAGGGGAGAAGGACAGAAACTGTCGCAGGAGTTAGGAGGAACGGGCAAACAAAGCCAAAGCAAGAAGTCATCTCGTGTGGCTGCTGCAGAAACAGCTCCCCGGCCCCAGGGTCCTCGCAGTGAGCTCCCTCCTGCGACAGCCGCTCCGCCGGGGCCGGCGGGAGGCGCGGCCGCAGCCCCTCCGCAGCCCGGCCGGGAGCCGACTCCTGCCTCCCCGCCGCCTCCCCGCTTCCCCCTGGGAGGAAGTACGAGAAATTACTCCCGACCCTATATTCTTCTATTGTTTTGAGCCGGTGGATCAATTGTCATCAGTACTGTCACCTAAGAAGCAATGATTCCGATTCATCTTGGCATCTGATTTTATTCTAATGGGTTAAATTGGGTTCACTTTTACAATTATCCCAGGTCTGACTGCGTAGTATTGCATGACAACTCACAGTTTCATCGGGTTTGGCAAAGCGAGGTTGCTCCATGAATCCGTATATCATATCACATCAGATCAGGCTGAAGTTTGCTGTTTAGCGACTCCATTTGAGAGGCTTTTTATGAAAGTGGGAAGGGTTGATGCAGTCCATGGTTGGTTCAATGCGATTTGAAAAAAAAATGTGGAGAGATGGCAACAACCCGGGTTTTGCTGCTCAGCTGTGAATAAGCACAGAACGAAAAAAACGACGTGATGGGGAAACGCTCAGCTCGCTACAATATTTTTAACAGGCTCTCAGTCCTCGCCTTTTTTTAATTTCCTAATATGTTCTTTGCTTTATTAGTTTTATTTACAACCAGCTCCCCATTAACACCTCACCTGATTACTGAGGAGCTGAGACAGCTAATCAAGAAAATCCAGCAAGCCAGCCAAAATCGAGAGGTGGGATTTATTTTTTTGCTTTCATTCAGTCTTCTTCTTTATTTATTTGTTTTGTTTTCGGAAATATTTCGAAACAAACAGTAAATAAAAGACAGGTATCAGTGCATATTGGTGAAAGGTCAGAGGTTAGAAATTCACGTCAGTTCTGTATCAGAGGCTATGCAGAGGGCGGGAAGAGAGAGGGAGAGAAGGGAGGAAAAAAAATCTTTCCACCAAGCAGCTTGTTTATTTTAATTAACATAGGGATCCTCTGCTAGGAGCAAGGAACAACCTCCATCTACTGGCTAGATCATTGCGTCTCTTCTCCATTCAAAACCCATCCCTCATCACTCATTAAGGAGGGTACAATTTTGGAAGAAGCTTCTAAGGTCTCAAGGTAAGCTCCTGCATGAGTCTTTGCTAGCAATGCAGCTATTTGGACCTCACGGATGTAATTTGCAGGGTGTTTCTTTGGCGTCGTTGTGTTGCTTGTTTGGTTGGGATTTTTTTTTAACAACACAGAACGGTATTTTCCCCAGGTGTATTCGCAGATAACATTTCATGCATCTATGTTTTAATCTAGAAAAATAGTTCAGCTTGGGAAGCCTGAGCCTTTCAGCTCAATTTTTTTAAAAATGCCCCTTCTTTTGTGCTTCTTTTATTTTTTTCTTTTAAAATGGAACGGCTTCTTTTACCTGTCTGTAATCCAGTCTGTAAGGGATTCCTTTTCGAAAGCAGCAAAATATGATAATTTCCAATGGCTTAATTACAAGCGGAGTGCAAATACAATTACAGCTAATACCAGACAGCTATGGAGCTGACAGTGCTGAGGTCCTGGGCGGTGAGCAGTTTCATGTTAGACAATAATCTGCCTCTCCTGCTTTCTTCTGGCTGTGTGATCACTTGTTTGTGGTCAGTCACAGCGCTTGGCTGTGGAAGACATGTGTTTGGGATTACTGTGCAAAGCACCTAGTTGTTTCTTATTTAAAATATCATCTCCCTAAGCAGATGAATACGTGTCTTAATTGACATGTTTTCAGATTACCGGGCGCTACAAGCACATTGGAGGTTTGGGGAGTTTTAATCCGATGCCGGTTACGGTTAAAGCCACCCTGCGCTTGTGTCCCTGGCAGCGCCAGCCCCGGGCAGCCCGGCAGGGAGGAGAGGGGCTGGTGCCTGAGTCTGGCTGCCGTGCCCCGGCTTTAACACGTCCCTAGCACAGCGATCCGAAAGTTGCTTTACGGAACACGCGAGAGGACTCATGGGAGGAGAAAGATGGTGATGGTAAAATACGTTGTATCTGACTCCGAAGTGGAATTTTAAATAATGTATTTTAAAATAAAAAATAATTTTAAAAATTGAGACAAAATAAACCGCAACCTATTTGAATACTGAAAACTATATTAGCTACATTTGGTGCCACCGCCAAGAGATGTAATTCTATTCAAATTTCCCTTCTTTGTGTCTAGATTGGTTGCAGTGCCCGCGGACTTTACAAACAGATGAGACTGATCATTAATAGCGCTGCACTCCACCACAAGCTCGTAGAGCAGAAAATAGCGTTAGGATTTAAAAATAGACCTGGCTTTAACCACCCGACTTGCAGGCAACAGGATCGTAATCCTGTTGCTGTTATTACTACGCGCTTTAAATTTCTGGAAATGATTAAACTGGAAGTGTCTTGAAAAGTTCAGGTGCTGACGGAGAGGGTGTGAAGCTCTGGTGCCCTGCGGGGCGGGGGGCGGCTGGCCCGGGCAGTGCCCGCGCCCGCAGCCGGACACGCCACGGCCTCAAATGCGGCAGGCGAAATCCAAACCGCTTCTCCTCAAAGAACACCTCCTCCTCCTCCCCACCCCCACCCCCCGCCTGAACACCCTCCCCCTTCTCCTAATTATTGTTGGTCAATTATTAATTTGCATATAGACCTTGTCCTAAATCCTCCGAACTAAACACGAGACGGTTCACGCTGCGATGGGCTTTAGCCCGTAGCCCGTGGCCAGGAAGAGCTCGGGCTCGGCGGCAGAGCGGATGGCAGGGACCGCACGCTGAAACCTTCCCGGGGCACACGATAATTGCAGAGCTGGAAGGGGCTCCGGCAGCGCCCGCGGAGCTGCGGGCAGGGATATCCGGGAGCTCTCCAGCTCTGCGTGGGCAGGCAAACGCTGTACCTGTGGAAACCTCCACGGATGTATCCCCCATCCTCCCCATCAGCTCCCCGTTAGCTCGGGGAGTTCGGGTAGAGCCTTACAGAAAGGAAAAGACCGAGAGCGCCTGTCGCGTTACTAAAGTATTCTGAATGTTGCACATCAGAAATTCTTTCTCGAATGCTACGGCAAAAGGAGATAAAAGCGCCCTGAGATGAGAAACTGTCGTTTACAGGCAAAGTGCTAATGCCGATGGATTCATGAGGGGCAGGCTCGTAGATTTGGATTTTAGGTTCCCTGTCGTGTTCTTTGTGAGCTTTTCTCTCCCCCACCCCCCAAGCAAACCAGCAAAACTGTGCGGAATCCCGCGTGCTATAATGGCAACCTCTCGCTACCAGCCTGCCTTAGAGCAGCGGAGCTCCAGTTCACAGCGAGGAATGAGATCTCAGGAACATTGAAATAGATTTACCTTGATCTCCTACAGGCCTTTTGGAAACGGAGAAGTCACGTTTGATGCTAGCAACAAACTTTTAGTGTCCCTTTAGGTAAGAAGTGGTCTGCCAGCATTAGGATGTTAATCAGAAAACGCCTTGGAAACCCCTGGCCTCCTTTACTGGAGCAGCAGTAGCTAGTAGCGTATCCTTAACCGTACCTGATGGAGCAGAAAGAAAGGACCCTCTAATTAATTAAGTGTGTCTAACCGGAGGAGGCTCAGTCATTTCTGAGCTTTGTTATGAGTCTGCCCAATTACTCCTAACGGCGCCGTCGAGCTAAGGTAGAGACGGGAATTTAGCAAGCAATATTTTCCGTGTCTCTGCCTTGGATGCTTTGACGCCGCACCTGCAGAGCGTTTCGGTGAGCCCGAGACAGCAAACGCGAGATAAGTGGGGGGAGAGGGCAGCGGTGCCCGCACTCGAGGCGCCCGAGGCACCCGAGGCGGGGGCACAACCTGCTCGGGGGGCACAACCTGCTCGGGGGGCACAGGATCCCCGCTTTAGCTTCCGATGGGACCGGGCCCAGCGGCAGCCGGGGGCTTGCCCCAGACCCCTCCCCGCTCCCGGCGGGCACGATGAGTTTGGCGGTCCTCAGCCCGGCAGGGACACGGTCACAGCGCGACGGCGGCGGCGCTTCCGAGAGGGCTCTGAGGGGCCGGCCCGGGCGGGCGGGGGTCGGCGAGGGTCCTGCCTGGCACACGCCGAGGTATCTTTGGCAACCCGAACGCCACGGGAAATGCAGACCATTTCCAGGAGAGCGCATGCAACGTGAAACAGGGGCAGGGTGAGTTACCCCGACAACATAACTGGAGGAGAATACAGAAAATATTCCTTCGAAGGGGAAAACACCCAGAACAAACCTTGAACGTGCTTCTAGAGCGCAAAGACTATATCGCAACGATTAGAAACAAACTCGTCTCTAAGGGAGATGTTTTGACCTCTGTCGACAGCCATCGCTGCCATTCCCCGCGCCAGGCGGGCGCAGGCCGGCGGTACCTGCCGGGCGCAGGGCGAGCGGGGCGAACCCTCCCGCTCAGGGGTTCGCCCCCGCCCGCAGCGCCGCCGTCCCTCCCTTCCCTTCCCTTCGCTTCCCTTCCCTCCTCCCGGGCCGCTCAACAAAGCCGCCGGCCCCGCAACAGCGCTGGCCGGGGCCCCGCAGCCCCGCGGGGGAGCGGCCGCGCTGCCGGTGCCCGGCGGGGACACAGGGAGGCACCTCCGCCCGTCCCCCCGGGCAGCCGGGGCGTCGCGGGAGGGAGGAGGAGGACTGGGGATCCCGAGCGAATAGCTCCCGTATCCCGGATTGAATCACCTTGTTTATTTTTCGTGATGTCTTATTGTGCTAATTGACTTGTTTTCTCCAAGGAAAGCCTATCTTTTCCTCCTCCTTCCCCACACACAGATATTTTTTTTTCTTCCAGTCCGGGAGTGCTCTGCAGAAGACTATGGCTTCTGGAGGGATCTGCCCTTTTTAAGGGAGATTCCCTCAGCCCTTTTTGAGACTCGTTGGTTTTATGGCTATTACTCTCTTATTAAAACACGCACATATATACAACACATTGATTCCCATCCAAAAGGGCTAATTACATTACTTACAGTAAATAGCAGCCCTGCTGTCCAGGGTCTAGTGTGCCAACAGAGAAAAAAATCCTGGCTTATTTCACTTGATTGACTTCATCTTTGTGTGAAATTGTGTTTTATGAGCTGTATTCTGGCACTCGGAGGAATGTAACAACATTCAATCTGCAAATAACATTAATTTTAGCTACTTAGGGGGAAAGAGAGGGGAGGAAACTTGCTGCCTGAATCTAGGGTTACATGGAAGAGGTGACTCGAGGAGCCCCTGAGGATGTCTCTGGGATGCTTTGGAAAGGAAGTGGGGGCTGGGGTACTTCTTTCACTAGTCGCGCTAGGTTTTGGTGAGGAGTGTTCCCCAGGGAGCGCAGGACTGCCGCCAGGAAGATCCTTCAGTAGGGATCGAGGTGTCAGGAAACAGCCAGCAGCTGTTTCAGGGAAAGGCAAGGAACAGTGGTGTGAAAAGTAAGTAGGAAAACGGGAAACGGCGGGGAGGGATAGCAGGCAGAGAGATTAGCCTGGAAGGAATGCATCGCCAGGTCCCCTGCACACAATGATCGCTCGCAGCCCGCGGCCGGGGAGCGGGCGAGGGGAGAAGGTCCTGCTAGGGCATCCCCGCCCGGCCGGGACCGGCCCCGCGGAGGAGCCGCATCCTGCTGCGGGTACGGGCGGGGGCACCGCTGGGCAGCAGGGCGGGCAGCGCCCCGGGAAGCGCCCGAACTGCCCGGGCCGCCCCTGCCTCCGCGGCTCCCCCCAACCTCAACACCCTCGGCGTGCCCGGGGCGCGGAGAGCGCTGCGGCCGCTCCGGCCCGGCTCGGCTGCCCGGCACCGGCGCTCCTCTCCCTTCCCCCGCTCCCGCCGCTCCGGCCCGGCTCGGCTGCCCGGCACCGGCGCTCCTCTCCCTTCTCCCGCTCCCGCGGCGGGGCCAGGCGCGGCGGGGCCAGCCCGAGCGGCCGCCGAACGGAGGTTCCCGCGGCGCGGCCCGGGGGAGCGGGGCCCCGGGGGGAGAGCGGGCCACCCTGCCCCTCGCCAGGCGCCGTCGCCGCCAACTCCCGGGACTCCGTGTTTGGGGGAGGTAATAAATCCCACCCCACCCACAGCCCCGACCGTAATGTTTGTCACTGCTTGCCCATCACTAGGGGTTGAGAGGAGTATGACAGGTCTTTGTTGTCTGAATAAAAATCAGTGGCAGCTCAAGGGAGAGAACTCCTCCTACTAAATTATCAAAAATGGGCTGGCTTTAGTCTCTTAACAAATTGGACAGAGCTCCGGAAAGCAGCAGTCCCAAATCCAACCTACAGGCACTGGGAACTTTAAAGCAACCAGGGACTGCTGAAAATAGCACTTCTTTTTGCTTTCTTTGTATTCAAAACTATATCCTTTCCCGGCTGATTCTACTGCCCCAGGTCCAAGTCTCTCCAGTCAGAAATTCCCAGCTCTCCAGAACAGTAACAGATCCTTTAGCTAGCTTTTATTATTTTATTTTTTAAACTAATTATTATTACATTTTCTCCCCCTTGTTTATTTTCTGCACATCTTCAGGAAGCCCTCAGTGCTTGCGCAAAGAGAAGCTCCTATTTGCAACCTCCCTCCCTGCGCTGTGCGCCTCGGTGTAAACATTTTGGATGATCTAAAGACTCTGGGGTCTGTATATGGAAATAGTGGGGTGCAGAGCAGAAGAAAATTCTTGTCCTTTCCGTCCCCCAGCCATGCTTTTCCACGGGATCTCCGGAGGCCACATCCAAGGAATCATGGAAGAGATGGAGAGGCGATCCAAGACCGAGTCCCGCCTGGCCAAAGGGGGACAGATGAACGGCCGAGATACGGTAAGAATGGAGCTGGCGTTCTTTGCGAGGGAATCCCTGCAAGCATGGACCCGCATCGGGACAGACCCTGACTTTGGGGAAGAGAAAGACGCTGCTTCCCTCTGTCCCTTCCCTGCCACCCCTTGCTTGTGGAACCCCTTCCGACGCTCCCTGTAAACCCACCCGTACGCTGGGTGCTGTGCTGGCCGGGCTCGGTTGTACATTTGTCTAACCCATGTCGCTGCGTGTGCTCTCTGGATTAGCGGGGAATCTGTTCCAAACCGTGGCAGGGACGGGGTTTCAGCCCTTGCGGCGGAGCAGCCTTTTGGCCCCGCGGCTGCCTGCGGCCGCTCTGCCCCTGCGAGCAGGGCTGCAGCCGGAGCTCCCGAGGTGTGCCTTATTTTTATTCTGCGCTTCTGGCACCTCCTAAACTAAACCTCAAACCGCGACTACTTACTTTCGTAACTGTCTTTGGTCTGAAGTGTGTGATTGATACAGAGGCACCGCTCTCTCTGAGTGTTTTGCCGGCCGCCTACTTTGCATGGAAAGTAACATCCCCTCTTTACTTAGTCAAAGGACCAAAGTTTTCGGATATGTACTAAGGGATGGCGGAGAAATCGAGTGTCACGCCGCGCTTTGTGCAAAGCGAGATCTCCCTTTCTCCAACTTGTAGGGCTTCCGCCGATCGCGCACAAGACTTTGCACACAAAGTTACGGCCTGGAAAACTGCATTAAGATTTTGGGACTTAGGGTCCTTTACCCCCTCTCTTAAATAAACTCACGTTTTGTTACATGAGGATTTGCAATGTAAATTTAACTCACCTTTCCATTGCTAAAAAGGAAAGGGAGCGAGGAACACAACTTCAGGTTGAAAAATGAATGCAGAGTTGCCACCTTAAAACAGTTAAGACTTTAGAACAAGATGTTTGGGATTTTTTTCCCCCCTGTAACTTTATCAGCAAAAGCTGCCCCAAGTTTCACGGCCGAGCTTTTGTCTCCGCCGTCCCTCCATCTCCCTTTGTCCCGAGCGGCACTCCTCGTGGGGAGCAGATCAATGGGAACTCGCAGAAGTTTACTGAGAAAAAGATACTGGTTTGAGCTGAAACCAGCCCGTGCCACCGCTCTGCCCACGTCCCTGACCGGGCTGGTGAGCGTTCATACTCGCTGCTCTTTACATTATCCACCTGTCTCCTTTATCTTACTCCTGTTTTAAAAGGCCTATCTTTCTTTAGAGACGCGGTTGGGGCTCGTTTAAATACGGGTGAAAATTTGCCAGAGAATGAGTGCAAGCCTGAACCCTCTGCCATAAACTTTAGGAACAGCAAACCGGTATTTTTCTACTTTAAAACGCTGTTCCTGTGAAGTTCGTTAAGATAACAACGCTAAAAAAACGGGGAAGCCTCAGACTTTAAGTTCAGAACCTCAGAAAAGAATGGACTCTGCTTTTCCTACTGCGGCCTAATCCGCTGCTTTCACGTATTGAAATGACACGAGATCGTAAGGAGAGGTTTACCGTGAATCACGGTAAACACTTTACTAGCGGGGATGGTCCCGGTTCCCCCTTAAACTTCCCGCCGCGAGCCAGGAGTTTGGTCCCAGAGAGCCGAGCCTTTGTACGAGCCCCGGGCCCTGCGCAGGACCCGTCCCCAGCCCGGCCTGCCTGCCTGTCTTTCTCTCCCTGTCTCATCCCTTGTGGTGTGGTTGTTTTGCAGAACATGCCCCCCATGAGCCCCGAGAAGCCTGCTTTGTGTGCTGGTTGTGGAGGGAAGATCTCAGACAGATATTACCTGCTGGCTGTTGACAAACAATGGCACCTCAGGTGTCTTAAGTGCTGTGAATGTAAACTGGCTTTGGAGTCAGAACTCACCTGCTTTGCCAAGGACGGCAGTATTTACTGCAAGGAGGATTACTACAGGTACAGCAATCAGTCCTCATGGGTTCAAAACACATCCCCTCAAAAGGCACTATGAACAGAAACGCTCTTTTCTCCACACGGGCTTTCAAAGGTAGCTTTTCGCAGTCAGCGATTCCTTAGTCCCCTCAGAAAAGCCTCGCACGTTTCCGAACTGAACGGGCCGTCAGGGGACGCGCTGACTGAACATGTGTGGCGGTGCACAAACAGGCGAAGGCTCTCCCGCTGCTCGGCGGTTTCCCTCCGTACAGACCCGACCGAAATTCCCCTCTGGGCGCAGCCGGCAGGTTTTCCTGAGGGCCGGAGCCCGCCGCCCCGCCCAGCCCCGCGGCCGGGCCCGGGGAGCGGGCCCCGCTGCTCCGTGTGTTGCAGCTGTCCCGCTGGCCAGCGCCCCGCGCTCCCCTCGTCTTGCCAGGAGCGCCAGGAGAGCGGGGCCCGATTCCCCCAGCTCGGCCCGCCCGGCCCCGAGCGCACGGGCAGCGGCGGAGCCTTCGCCAAAGTCCCGGGAGAACGGGTCAGCTCGGCGGGGAGGGCGAGCCGCTCCCCTGGGACATCAGGGCCGGTTCCCTGAGGCTGTCCCGACACCAGGCGGGCCGGGGGCCGCAGCCGGTGTCACGGGCCGTCCTGGGGCCGGGGGGCGCGACCCTGTCGGGGACAGGCTCCCTCACGTGGCCGGGAGGGAAGGCGGGAGGCACCGGGGCAAGCTCTGCCTTCGCCGTTCTAGTTGATGCCCACTTTTCTTTTTCCTTCAGAAGGTTCTCCGTGCAGAGATGTGCCCGCTGCCACCTTGGGATCTCAGCCTCTGAAATGGTCATGAGAGCCAGGGAATCGGTTTATCACCTGAGCTGCTTCACCTGCACCACCTGCAACAAGACTCTGACCACGGGCGATCACTTTGGCATGAAGGACAACCTGGTTTACTGCAGGGCCCACTTCGAGTCCCTTTTGCAAGGAGAATACCCCCCTCAGCTGAGCTACACCGAGCTGGCTGCCAAGAGCGGAGGGCTGGCCCTGCCTTACTTCAACGGCACTGGCACGGTCCAGAAGGGGAGGCCCAGGAAACGAAAGAGCCCTGCCTTGGGAGTGGACATCGTCAGCTACAACTCAGGTGGGAAACACACGCCGAGTCTGCCTCCCGCTACCGCGAACAGAGCGTTCTCGGGCTTCCCCTCAGCCAGGCAGTGCGTGAATAACTCAGCCAGGCCAAATCTTGCTTAACCATTGGAAAATCAAACAAACAGCCCTCTGAGGGTTGGAGCATTTGCAGGAAAGCTAACAGCCGCCCTCCTCAAAGGCTGTCTTTGCCTATTAATGTCAAACACCCAAATTTAGCCACTTCCCAGGGTAAAGACAAAAAAAAAAAAAAAAAAAAAAAAAAAAAAAAAGAGGAAAAAAGAAAAAAAAAACCCACAAAACCAAAACCTCCAACCCCAAAACCACATAGCTTTCTCTGCTGGAATCTCAGAGATGTAGTTATCATTATTTATATTTGATTAGCTAAAAAAAATTCACCACTTAAACCTCAAATTAAGAGTAACCAAATGAATAAAAAAAATAGAATAAAAGTTATAGTATATGGTTCCTACAATACCAATGTAGTATGCATATAACTCAATTTATATATTGAATTTATAGTCATTAATTCTTCAGGCTGAATAATTCTGTTTTACTGACACATAAATGATCAAACTGTACAAGAGGTCAACGAATAAATGTTGTTTCCTGTAACTAAACCCTAACAAATGTAATTAAGGAGAATGATTTCTGTTCTCTCAACAGTAGGAAAGGAACAAGTGTTGCCCTGTATTAAATATCCTCTATAATTCCAGTCACTTGAATACCCAAACCGTGTATAAACAGTGCTAGTGGCCAGAGGTACAGGAGTGTCAGGTATGACCAAGCAGTTGAGGCAGAGTTTCATTAGATGAAGGACGAAAGCAGGAAGGGTAATACGAATTGGCAAACTTCTGACTCCAAAATCGTTTAGGGAACCTTAAGCTTCCCACGGACGGTCACGGAGGAAAGAAAGCCGTGGGAAGCAGGAGTGATGCAAGGTGCGCTTCCCCACGGAGCCGTCCCGGCCGGGGCAGGGAGCCGGGGCTCCGGGCCCAGGGCTGCGGACCGCGGGCCCCACCGGGGAGCCGGGAGAGGGGTCAGGGCCTCCCCTTCCGACAATCGCGGGTCGGTAACAGCGCACAGCTCTCGGCCCGGAGCTCCCTCTCCTGCGCCGGGTTCAACCCGCTGCCACTGAGATCCATAAGGAATCTTCCACGGCCCCGCTGCCCTCCCCACCCCTCCCCCGGCACCTCCTCTGGGGCCGCTCGTGAAGCGGCCTTTAGCTGGGAACCAGGGAGCTGTGCAAGGCGATTTCATCTCCTCTGATGCGTAGACCTTGGAGCCAGGGTAATCACTGCGCTAATTGTTCCTTGTTAATTGAAGATGACATTGGAATCCCTGGCTACGGAGCGGCTTCCAATCAATCCTGAAAGCTGCTAAAGAAAAGGGAACCTGTAGCGCAGCCAGGATTCGTTCAGCCCCAGCTTCCAATGGTGGATTTCCCGTGTGCCCGCTCCCTGCTCTGGTCTCTATCCCTGGTCCACGCAGCATCACCCGATTCCCCAGATTCCTAAAGGGAAATAATCCTAGGGACAATTTAGCGTTAAAATTAGAACCAGAAGTTATGGTAAAATGAAGAGTTGTGGATATGATAAAGCTCCCCTTAAACTTCAGATCAGGACTCGAGAGAGACATTATTTGCGAATGCTGACATAATCTTTGTGTGCTGGTCTTAAAACTCTCCTTCTTTACAACAACGGGCCATATAAGATGTACCACTGACTCCAAATCAAATTAAAAAGCACCACCCATTATGAAAACACAGCTCATTGCATTGAGAACTCACAGAATCCTCCGGGCAACGGAGAGAAAAAAGAACAAACCAAAACAAATCAACAAACGCTCTGATGCTTTGGACTCAGGCTAGATGGCTGAGAAATCCCTTTTGTTGGGGCCGTGATTTTATTCTTTTTTATAAGCGTTATCTAGCTATGTCCAGGGTTGACACATGGTCTCGAGAAAGTTTGCAGCCAAACCGTGCATCCGGTGCAAACGGCTCCAGCCCATTGACCCCCTGCGCCCCAAATCCAGGGGGGAGGAAAGCGAATCTGGAACAGCTACGAAATGAGTTGCAGTAGATGAAACGGCTTCTTGAGAGAAAAAAAAGTCTCGAACTAATTGGCAGCCACTTCCCTAAACACGTTTTTCTTTCTCTGCCCTGTGACTCAGTAACTGCTCTTGCACGTAATCATTTACAAAGGGCGAGCAGTCCGCAGAATCTCAATGTCGGATGCGCGGCTGCCGCCTTCCGAGGGAGCAGCGGGCCCCGCAGCCCCCGGCGGTGTCCGGGCCGTGTGGCGGTGTGCCGCCCTGTCCCCGCGGGGATGGGACAGCCACGGGCACAGCCCTGCCCCGCACCGCGCCCAGAGCGCAGCGAGCCGGACACCGCCGCGCCCGCAGCTCCTCAGCCGGGCACTCGGGGCGGGGGCACCGCGGCCGTGACCTCCCCGTGAGCCCAGCTCCTTCCCAAACAGCCCCAGCCGCGGTGCCCGTACCGTGTGCCAAGCCATTATAGAAAACCACCCCGAGCTTTAAAAGCGAAACTCCGATGGAGCCAACAGCTTCACCCAGCTGAGCATGAGCATGGGTGTGTTCACAGCCATCCAGCAGGCCCTGGCTTAGATTTGTGTGCACATTATGTTACGGGGGAGCTGAGCCCTGGTCCAGAATGGAAAATCAGACTCTGCTGCAGAATCTACAACAGCTTTTCTATTCTGTATTTTGTTTGCTAGTTTAATTTCTTTTTCACAGCCCCTTGGTTGTAAAGTGGAAACACAACAATAAATAACTCAAAATGTTATGAGGTAGAAATCACTCATACTTGCAAGCTGTCTAGAATTAATATGAAAAATGGAAGAAACTATTCAAAAGTACTTAAAACATTCAAGGCGTTCTCTATATAACATCTTATATCATATAATTAATATATAGTTTAAGGGAAACTGTGTTTACTTAGAGCTTAGAGGATATGGAAATAAGATGGTGAAGAAGATTTCCTTAGGAAAATATTTTACACATCTGTTCCTCGAAGAGCTATTTACTTCATTTCATTATGTATGTGTGTGTGAAAAACTATGAAGAGTTCACTTGAAGAATTCTTGGCAATAAGAATCAAACTGTTCTAGCTCTTTTGAAAGCAGAAATTAAACAACCCTCCAATCCTGCTGCAAAGAAATGAGCAGTGTCTTGCCTAACTTTGTGCTTTCCCTTAGTTCTCCAGGAGATAGTTTAAGACTCTGCTCTAGGATGTGGCCAAACCACACAACACTGTATAAAAGACAGTGAGCTGTAATCATGGTATAAACCAGGATTGTCTGAAGATACTTGGAGCCCTCTTCTCATTTTCTCTTGAAAATAAAAACCAAAATAAAGTAGACCACCAGCAAAAACAAAAAGAAGAAAAAAAGAGTAGAGTACAGAAACAAAGGCAGTAAGCAGGACAGAGGAGCCTGAGGAAGTTTGTGTTGCTGCTATAAGCCTGAGTGGCCCAAGAAAAACAACACAAACAAGCAGTTTGCAACTCTGAAGTAAAACCTGAGGACTGAATTCTGGTACTCTGATTTATGTCAGCTCATAAGTTACAGCCCACGCAGTTTGACTGAAGGCAGTGTGATTGCTTGTGAAAACAAGTAGTAAATACAATCCAAATCTGGTCTGAAATTGTTTTTAAGGCAACTTTCAACTCCTGGTCTTTTCAGAAGTGTCAGCTTACTTTGTTTGAAAGTACAGATATACTTCTTACCAAGACTAGGAGCAAAGCTAGCTATAATTAAATATTCACCTGATTTTCTGTCAAAGTGTTGTCTTACCAGCATCTGTTCATGTTGACTTGTCTTAAAAGAGAAAACACCTTCAAGAAGCTTTTTATTTTTTTGTGGTTTCAAGTTGCTTTGCCTCTGTTTTCAGCAATGCTGACATCAGTCTCTCTGTATTGTGTGCCTTCCGTCTTTCTCTCCTCTCTCTCTTTCTCTCAATTAGGAATGGGGATCAGCTAGGCCTTGTAAATAATCCAATAACTATTGGAAGGCAGTTCAAAAATCAAAATGAGCAACTAATGAAACTGTCTAATTTACAGACATTCTGAAGCATTTTTAATTAGCTCTTCTTTAATTAATATTCCCTGCTAGGATGACACCATTAATTTTCTCCTGTGTGACCGAACTATCTTTATAAAATGAGATCCTAGATATTACTAACCCTTTTGTTTAAGCTGAAAAGAAAAGCACAGATACACTTCTTACTTTTCTTTTTGCTAATGCAATAATTTCTTTCTCCAATATGAAGTAATAATGCTACCATCCCCTAAGAGCTGCAACCCTTGTGTACAATTCACATCCAAAAATGTGTAATCTGAAACAAGCTTATCTTTCATAGACACTTCGAAAATACTGAATCAGAGAAAGAAGAGAAACTCTTCAAGTTTTGAGCTCCTAGCTGCTTGCTTGTAGAAATGTCCTAAACCAGTACTAACTAAGACCTACTGCTGATTGGGATTGGGGGTCTGGATCAAATCTTGATGCAACTGCTTCCTGGATATGTTTTGCAGATGAAGGGCTTCAAGCAGTTCATATAGACTCCCAGGCAGAGTCCAAAAGCATTCATTTTATCAGCAAAAACCTCAGCTTTTATGATGAATTGTCATAACAAACTTCTCTGCTGTACATCTCTTTTTATAGGTGCTTGTGATTTGGGGGAAAGGCTCAGGAACATTCAAAATGCTGGTTTGACCTTAACTCTTCTCTCAAGCTAAGAATGTTTCAATGAGTAAGATTTCAAAATCTGAATGAGATTTCAAATGACTCTTTGATCGCCCAAAGCAAAACAATCACCACAGGGAAAAGACTTGTTTGAAATAAATGCCAAAGGAGGCAGAACTTTCAAAGTCTTCCCTCAGTAGGTACAGGCCTTGGGGACATAGCATAAGGATAGGAAATGACAATATTCTGGATCTTTTTTGGTCTCATCAATTATCACATCTGTACTTATCCTTCTACTATCTTCCTTCCTTCCTTCCTTCCTTCCTTCCTTCCTTCCTTCCTTCCTTCCTTCCTTCCTTCCTTCCTTCCTTCCTTCCTTCCTTCCTTCCTTCCTTCCTTCCTTCCTTCCTTCCTTCCTTCCTTCCCTCCCTCCCTCCCTCCCTCCTGTTACTCAAGATTTTTGCCTTGATTTATTTATCCTACATGATGCATGGCACTAACTCCTTGTTCCACTGTGTTTATTTGACAGGTTGTAATGAGAATGAGGCAGATCACCTGGACAGAGACCAGCAGCCTTATCCCCCATCCCAGAAAACAAAGCGCATGCGTACCTCCTTCAAACACCACCAGCTTCGTACCATGAAGTCCTACTTTGCTATCAACCACAACCCAGATGCCAAGGACCTCAAGCAGCTTGCCCAGAAAACAGGCCTGACCAAGAGAGTTCTGCAGGTAAGAAGCCACGTGACAGGCTTGACAGAATTTTCCCCTGCTAGTCAATAGCCTTTCCCTTATGTGTAACTATAGCAATGTACATAGAAATACTTTTGCTGGGTGTGTCCCTAGTGGGTGTGCAGAGGGGTATGGTGTTACGTGGCAGAAGTGCCAAATGTGTGTTCCTTATTGCCCCGAGGCAGCCAAACATCAAACTGTGGTTTGTGATTAGCTGCATCCTCACCATGAAGAGAATGTCTTCAGAGTTCACCCACCCAGTAGATCTCCCGGGGACGGTTGTCTCTCTGTAGTGACTGCACTAAGGATAGAGGTGGCAAATCTACTGATTTTATGGGTGAAGCCTTTGGGCTCCCCTGAAGGAGTTAATGTGGCCCCTCAGTAAGCAGATCCCTGATGTGTTTGAAGTAAGCTTTGACTAATATGATCCTCCAGGACCAGCTGGCTCCCCCTCCCAATGCTTGTTAGACGACTGTTTTCCTTAAGGGCCTGCATAGTCAAAAGTCCCTGTGAAGGACAGCCTAGCAAATGATGTTAAAAATCCCTATATGGTTTGTGATAGCTCAGTGAAGTTTAAACGAGGTGTGTATTACATGCAGAGTGCCAAAGAAGGGCAGTGAGTGAGGTAGAAGGAGAATCTATTAGCGGCAATTCCTGTCCGTGTTACATGTCACCTCAAACTGCCAGTGAACCTTACAGAACAGAAAGACTAGATGACCCATATCAACAATCTGTAAGACAGGGATGGTGTAATTACCCCTCCTTCCTCTTCAGCCTTTTCAAATAATCGAGGCAGGCTTTCAGCCTTGGCAAAAATCTGCTCACTCACTCTTTGCTTCAATCTTTGTGTGGCCTGACCTCAAAGCTACCCAACTCAAGAAACACTATGTGGCCATCAAGAGAGTTGCTCTCTTTGGGTAAGTGAGCAAGCAGATTTTTCTCGAGGCTGCTCTCTGAGGGTTGTAAGCACCTGTAGCACTGGGCCTGTACACAGAGAGTCAGTACCACCAGTAGCAAGAAAAGCTATAGAATGACTTAGGTGATGTGCCACACAAAATCAAACATCAAAAATGAATTTAAAAAGCAAAAACAAAGACAAAAATAAGCAAAGCAAAGCAAAACAAGCATCGGTAAAGAAATCCATTGGGATTGGTTTGCAGGTTTGGTTTCAAAACGCAAGAGCCAAATTCAGAAGGAACCTTTTGCGGCAGGAGAATGGGGGTGTCGATAAAGCTGACGGCACCTCGCTCCCGGCACCGCCCTCAGCAGACAGCGGCGCACTCACTCCACCCGGCACTGCGACCACTTTAACAGACCTGACCAATCCCACTATCACTGTAGTGACATCAGTGACCTCTAACTTGGACAGCCACGAATCCGGGAGCCCCTCACAAACTACCTTAACGAACCTTTTCTAACAGTTCCTTTTTTTTTTTAAATTCTTACTCTTCATTATTATTATTATTATTATAATTATTATTATAATTATTATTATTTTCAAGCCTTTTTAAAAAGCAAACAAACCCACAAAATATTTGGGAAAATAAACAGCTTGATGTGTAGCATCTGCAGCCACCTGGCAAATGAGTTTGAAGTAATATGTTGCTATAATATACGAACATTTATTGTTGGTAAATTGTACTCAAATTCTTTAAATTTATCACATGACTGAAGACAAGGTGATGAATCATTCTAATAAGTGCCTCTTAAAATTGTATGTTACTTATTTCCAGAACCTTGAAAAAAATTGATTGTTCCCCCCCACAAAAAGAAGATTCTATTCCTCCCTGATAACCAGATAAAAACCATTTTAATTATAGCCAAAAGAAGGCTGCTTCAGGATTGTATGTTCACTTACAGCATTTAAGACCCCCAAATTCAATTTTATTTTCATAATGCATCCAAAAATTTTGTACTATTTTTTTTTAAATGCTGAAAAATAAATACAAAATGAATTAGAGTAATCATGAAAACAGTCAGACTGGAAGTACCAGTGCTCTTTCCTAATGCAGTAGTCGCAAGCCTGCTTCTCCCCGAGCACTGGGGAGTCTCACTGGGATAGCTAAACGCTCCTCTGCCAGTTCTGCACCCAGCTGGGACGTCCTTGGCCACCACTGAAAGCCATGCCTGATGGAGGACTTGGAGAGAGACCCAGTGATGAGAGCACATGTGGGTGAGGATGACAGGACCAGGCCGCTGGTCTCCAAATTTGTGCCCCACATTAAGGAGGCAAGATCTGGAAAAAACTCTCCAGAGCGAGCTCACTCCTATAAGAATGTCATTAAAGTAACAATAGCAGAGTAACAATGCAAGTGGAGAGTCCTACTGATCCAAAATGTTGCCTAGGGAGGGGTTTTAATTTTTGTCTGTCAAGCAGCTCTGCATTTTTGGAATTAAAAAAGATAAAAATTGCAGTTGGCTACATGGCTTCGATACCGTCCCTCCAAAGCAAACCAGAGGTTGCCCAATTACTTTAGGGAGCACAAAAATAATTTTCAAAAAGGGGTACTATTCAATGCATGTGTACTATTCAAATGAACTTTTGACAAATCCCACTTTTTTTTTTTTTCAGGGAAATGGAAATAAGCAAAATATAATTTATTAAGATGTTTAAGGAAAAAATATTTCAGTACAATTTATTCATTACTATTTTGAATTTTCTTTAGATGTTTCCTGAGATTGTATCAGACACTTTGTTTAACACAGGAACTTAAAATCTTTAGTTCATTAATATCTCTAACATATACTTTAACTTTTTAAACTTTGTATAAAAGAAAAAAATGTTAGCAAAAATCACACAAAACCAGGAATTGGCAGTGAATAACTTCAAAGCCGATAAACTCAGAAGCCTTGTGGATGCTGATCTGAATACATTTCTTAGTTTACAATAGTGATCTTTCTTTTTTTAGTTTTATTTAAGCTAAAAGTCTGAATGGTCTGGGCAGTGGTGAATGTTCATTTGTATCCTTTTATTGTAGTTCAATACCAATTAGATTGTGGACAGTCTCAGAAACAAAAAAGAACAAAAACCAGTCAAGATCTATGTCTTGCTTTTAGTGGATTGTTAAGAATAACTTTGCACATATACCCCACTTTTTAGACACCATCAAATCTCTTTTTGGTGGTCAAAGTGGCTATTTAATATATTTTAAAGGTGTCCTTTTTGGCTGTATAAATGTGTGGTTACATATTGACAGTTCACTGCCCACATTAAAGTGCATTATTGTAATTTTTGCTCAGGGTTTTTAGAAAATTAGCACAGAAAAGTAGCTTATTTTTAAAAAAGATGACGGAAGAGATGTTAACACTGTAATAGAAGAAAGGTGTGTTTGCCATTATATATTTAGCAAGTATGGTTATCATCTTCTACGGATATTGAATCTTGACTTTTCCTATTTCTATTACCTTATGGGCATTTACCACTAACCAGACCAAAAGACCTTGGTAAGGCTGAGATCTTTATTAATACACTTTTACAGGTAAAAATATTGATACTTATAAATTTTGTTCTTTGACAGAACAATATATGGTACTAGAGATCTACTTTATTAAGTAGACTAATTAAAACTCAGTTCTACTATGTGCCTTATGATATACCTTGGGAGTAAGTTTGTGAAAAATCAGGATATATGTGTTGTTTGTTAAATTAACTGTTTTAAGCCCTTTTGACACCTCACTAGTTTTGTACTGTTTTACCTCTTATTTCTGAAACTCTTTTTATGGTGTATCCTGTTAGAGGGGACAAACATGTCATAGAAAGCAGTTGTGCACTCTTTCAGATATAGTTGATAAATCCAATAATCTTATATATTGAGCTTCGTGTTTATAGTACAGTAAGTGGTCTAGCAAAATTGTCCATGTTTCTTTGTTTATTGATAAATGCATTGTATAGAAACTATTTCCCCTAAATATTTATGGACCAAACAATTGTGATATATCCTATTAAATTTGTGTGAATAAACCATTTTGAATCTAAGGAGTTTTATTTCCCATCAGTTTTTTGGGGGGTTTTCTTTGGTTGGGGTTTTTTGTTTTGTTTATTTTTTTTAAATTTAAGGTCTACATGTACCTGTGTGTCTCTTTGCATTTACGGTACCTATGAACAATTGGTATTAAACACAGAAACACGGCCTTTTAAATATTTTAAAGTACAGTTCCTTCTTAGGTTTTCAATTTCTTCATATTCAATGTATATGCTACTGCTGGTGCAATTTAGATTTTAGCCTTTTAACCTCCCTTTTTGAACATGCAAAGTAATGCCCCACTGATTTGATACTGAAACCCTGTCTTAGCCCTCTAAAAGAGCCAGAAAACTAGGAGCTAAAGTAATTGCATGACAAATATAACCTAAATAGTATGATGAAATGAATCAAGATTTAATGCTAGGTATATTGAGCACAAAATAGAATTGCAGACCCCGAAAAGCCAGGTTGCTCTGTAGTTTAATAAATTGTCACTATGATTTCTTTCAGGGAGAACAAATCATGGGGCATTACAGCCAAACATCCCGACGTTTGAAAATTCCCTAAAGTATTAAAAGAAGGGGAAAAGTTTGATCGGAAATCCACTGCAGTGAAGACAAAGACAATATTAGGTTATGATAATCATACATTTAAAAATCTATTGAGCCAAAAAATAAAAACAAAAGACTTGATGTCATTTCCTGAATGTTAACAAAACATACGTTATTTTATGGTGTCTAATTAACAGAACTGAAGGCTTCAACAAATTGTGTGGTATCAAAAACAAATTTAGAGAACCTATGTATAAAACCAGAGCAACCTGGCAGCAATCTACCCAGCCCATATTCGAAGAAACCTTTTCTTTTTCTTAAAAAAAAATCACATTTGTCAAGCACAAGTAGTTGTAAAATAAATCTGAGTGCATTCATTCCACTTGCTTGCTAATGTGTACTAGTCATATCTGTTAAATGGATTTTTGTAAATTCAAAGAGAACTTTCCACTCATCTGAGATCATAGGAATCAAAACCCGTAACTTTAGTACTATTGTTTCAGAATTAATTTTTTTAAAATGAGACAACTCTGCATGCACTTTTCCATCTGTCACATATAGTGTACATTTCTGTATGATGAATTTCTCTTTGATGTTTCTTGTATAATACCTTTCATTAATAAACATTTTATTTGATGCAAACATAGTTAACTTTATGTAAACACATAGCTAATTGTTTCAACTAATTTAAACTTTTCTTTTGAAAGGAAGCAGTACAGTGCAGTTCCAATATGCTATATATATATATATATAAATATCTAAAATCAAAAAGAATGAGGTAGCAATACTATTGCACAGTGTAAAATTATTTCCTTTGGTGTTAATTTTTTAACTTGTATAAAACTGACTTGTTTTAAAAAGAAATTCCCATCAACATCTACAATAAAACAATCCCCAAATTCTTCATCAAGATAAGAAAACACGAGCACTACAGTGTGTACTTTACACAGTGACTTTAGAATATAAGGATATAATTTGTGGGTCCCTGAGCTGTTTACATGGTCACTATGCAATGAGCACGTTTGCTACATAAAGTTGGTCCTAAGACTCCCTGTCCAAAACACAGATGATTTTTGCAAGCAACAAGCAAGTGTAACAATAACCAATTCTTAGTAATGAGGTTTTGTAACTGTTAAGCAACTATTTGCAGAAAGATTTTTTTAAAATATATTCCTATTTAGCTGTATAGCCAAAGCATATGTTAAACAAATTAACATATAAAAGACTTGCCAGAAAATCTTTCATTAAGATGACATTTTTATTATATACTAATGAACCCTATGTAAACAATGTAACTTTTATGAATGATGGACATTAAATATTTCACTTACATGTATCCTCAGCATTTTGCATGTTTTCTTAAACCTCTCCAGTTTCAGAATTCTAAAAAGAAAACCATAGAACTACTTACAACATAGCATAAAGTTATGTACAAGTTACTGCAGCAATCTCTGGAAACCAGTTACTAAGAGTGTTCTAATGGCAATAAAAAGGTATCATTTATTGGTGGTAATTATGGGGAGGATTGTTTAAACAACAGTTTTATAGTATATTGTAAAGTTCTATTGAAAAAGGTTAGCATGGTGGATTTAATTCAAATCAGCTTGATCAGAAATTTAAGTATATTGTGAAATTCTTAAGCTGAGCCTTATGTGTATTTATTACTGCAGAAAGTAAGTAAATGTAGGAAAGCAATTATTTGTGTCACAGCCACAATGTGGTTTCCTCCCGTTGTCCTTAGGAAAATATTACAACCATTAATTATTCCAATCAGTAAAGAACTTGATGGTGCTCAGGACCAAGAAAAAAAAAACCTCCGCATTTTAGTTTTTCTTTTGTAAATCACCGCATTCTTCAATAAGCTGGATTTCTTCTCCCCCTTATTTAATACTTAACAGAGATATTTCTAGTCTTGCTCATGTGCTGCATTTTTCACTTCATTTAAATTAGAAAAATAAATTATTTAAATAATCCTGATGAAATATTGGCAAAATCTAAAACAAAGCCAGAACAATGTTATTCCTCTGTGTCTGATTAGAGACATTAAGGTTTGATTTTTTTAACAACACTTAGCTTTTTTTGGAGACAGTCCTGCACATAGTGCTCTGACCTGACAAAGGGCACTAGACAACTCAAATTTTTTCAAAGATGCAGAACTGTCTCCTGCATTAAGAAAGCAAACATGTTGAAAGGGAAGCATTATCTGAGAAAGAAAAAAGGAAACATTTCAGACAAAGCTTAAGAGAACGCAAGACAAAGGTAGGTTTTCAGTATTGTTACAAGTGAGAAATGTCTTGGGGGTCTTTCTAGTGGATACATATCCATGTCTAGACACAGCACTTCTTTGCTTTCCTGGTCTTGAAAAAGAAGTAAAATTGTTCAGTCCTAGAACATCTCCCTCAGAATTATTCACCAGAGAAATGGCTCACAGGACCAGGTCAAGTGACAGAAGGATGACACTGCAGCCCCCTGCAATTGGTGAAATATTCTCTCTCTGATTTTGTGGGCTTGGAGCCAGGAGCTGAATGAGCATGGAGATTAAATTACACTCTTGTCTCTAAAGAAAGCATAACCTTCAGAATGAGACAGAATATATGGGACAGCAATGCTGCTCTGTGCTTTGGACTTCATCCTTCAGAGCTGCTAATCCAAGCACCTGGCACATGCATTAAATTGACTTCAAAATATTTCTTCCTCCTTCAGCCAAATGCAGGACACAAATTATATTATTGGATTTTCCAGAAGCTACTACAGTGTCAGAGACTTTATTCAGTTATTCTGCAATGTTGAACAATTCTTTTGCGCTTCTCACTTGACACAGACTTATCTCGACACATACCTATACACATATCCTTGTCTTGCCTTCAGATAACCAGTACTTTCATATTTATTTAAGTCATTCAAACCTACAGGAAGCAACTCTCCGTGCTTCCACGTTCTAGCAAAGGCAGTTGTCATAATTTTGTTCTGATGCTCCTTTACTGTAAAACATTTCTCTGGAGTAGGTTTTATGTTAGAAGTTTGTACATTTGTATGGTTTATTTTTTTTTCTTTTCATAGCTTTGGACAAAAACCCCACAAGTGTAGTGCTTGATGCATCTAAGTGTACAGATTATTTTGCCAGCTTCTCTTGCAGTATCTAGAAAAACAAATCTATGATAATCACTGAATTCCTGGCTTGCATGTTACTGTAAGGTGTTCCCCTCTGCAGATTGATTTTATCACAACAAACTATACAAAATATAGACAATTCTAATTTAACTAATATGATTAATATTATAAATGATAGATTTTTTTAGCTGTACTCCTTTCTGGCTCAAGCTTGCCTCTGTTTTTGGAAATAGGATTGTGAAAAAGCATCCTTTGAAATTTCTGGTATTTGCTTCTGCTAGGAACAGAGGGCTAGACTGAAGGTCAGCTCTGGCTTGACAAAAATCAATGTTATTTCTAGTTTGCTCTCTTTTCAAATTAGGCTTTAACAGAGAATAAAAAGCTGTTAATTATTTCACTACAAGATAATGAAAGTCTTCCCTTTTGCACCTCAGTTGCACACTTCAGAAAGGATTTTGAGGCAGAACAGATATATAGCATTTTGCATCTGTGAGAATGCTGCCTATAGCAAGTAAATAATAAGGGAAAGAATAAGCTAAGAAATGGTTATCAAGTTGCAAGTATAAGCAGTCACTGGGAGAGATGTTGTAGTTTTTTTATTTAACACCCTAGGAATTCTTATTTCACCATTTTCTTTGAGGAATTTGGACATTCCACGGAGTAAATGCTCAAGTAGCTTGCTTTGCCACGTGCTCCTTGATTCCAGAACTGAGATGCAATAGAGAACAACATGTAACAAGAATCTTTCAGGAATTATTATTTAGCAAAATAAAAAATTGTTGCCCAATGTCCTAAAATCAGTAAAATCAAGTGCATCCTCAGGAAAGCTGAAAGCACTTCTACTTTAAGATAGACTTTAAGTAGACTACTACTCTATCTTAAATAGACAGACATGCAGGCTTGTGATTTCTATTTAGCTCCTAGATGATAATTACCTTTACCAAAAAAATACATATCCCATCATAGTAAGGAGCCCTGCATGTAATGTCAGCAGGGAGAGCTGAGAGCAGTTCAGAAACTAACCAAGCACCTTGGAGGTGAATATTTTAATGTGCCAAGAAACTTGCATTGTTACTGCTTGGGCTGCAGCCACAAGTGTTAGACAACACCTCTCATTTTTTTTTCTGACTGTCCAGCAGAATATTTTTTACTTTATAAGAAAGAGTGGGCTACAGAAAATGAAGTTAAATGGACACTGAAAAGTACATGAATGAGACTGTGTGCCTTTTATGTCCCTGCTGGCCCTTTTGATATAAAATGCTGTGGCTTTGAGACTCAGTCTTACAGACTGATATTACTGCTTTCCCTCTGCTTTATAATTGGAAGATGCCTCTTCTCTTATATATGAAATTACACAGACAAGCTGTAACTACATTAGCTGAATTAATTACCTACCCCATTTTGTCAAAACATTTCTTAATAACCAAACCCTTGCGAAGGATATGTTTTTTTTTAATCTGGCTGGGATAAATTAAGAAGTTCGTTCATTATGATCTACTAGAAATAGTTTATCTGTCCAGAATTGTTCTGCACATACATTAATGTTAGAATTGGCTGGAATTAATCAATTTCTGCTCTTTTTAACCCATAACAAAGCACTAACATGACAGCAACTACATAGTAGTCAGTGGCTCAAAACACTAATTGTAACCACTTCTGTTGTTGTGGATGGATCAAAATTGAGAAGCTCTTCAAGCCACAATTTATCTCTAAAATAGTACCATTAAAAGACTATACAATTTGTAGTGCTGTTTAACTGTTTAAGTTAATCATTATTTCCAACATGGACTGCTGAATTTTGGTGAAATCTGGAACTTTCAGACTAAATTTTCTTTA